CTTTCCCTGTGTTATATGGTACGTATATACCTTCCAGCTCAGGCAGGGCGTGTGAGTAAGGCACGTGTTAGAGAAGGTTGCTTCCAGGCAGGGCTGATCCAAGAGGAGAGTTTTGGGAAGACTGTGCACATTGGACGGCATCCCAGAGCAGCACAAGACTAGGGCCGATTCACCTTAGTGCAAGGAGGTGTGAGGGAAGAGGAGATCCTTTACTTGGGCACAAAACAGTCGACTGCGGCTACCTGCGTTTCCTAACCAGAAAAACCACACTGAGGAGAAATTGTTTGCTCACAACAGCCTTGCTCTGATTTTAATACTGGTGCCAATTCAAACTGACAGCTTTGCATGCGAGGGTCACGAACAGGAATGTCATGATACGGATGGTTTTGTCCTAACAATAGAATAGAAAATACCAAGTGACTCCAAATCGACATGAAATGGATAATGTTTGTCACTACTGACCGAGGCCAAACAGGAACTCAAAACCGACGTGCAAAGCCTGTGCATCTTGCGTTTTAATTAGCTGACAAATTAGCTGAAACCAATTACCTATATTGATTAAGGCCAGGAGCAGTGTACTGAGTACTAACAATATTCCTAAGATAATATCCTCGTTATCTGGAAAGGTCTGTTCCCATGCATCCGCAGGGAAGCCATTTCAATTGCTAATCCTACTGGGGAGTGTGTTTCCGCTACAGGAGCCACACCGAAAGCTCCTTTCGTGCTAAAATGAGAATTGCTACAATGCAGGTCCAGGGAACAATAAAAAGGAGCTACACTGCAAATCTCAGTGAGCAGCCGTTTTATTTCCACTAGCACAGACCCCTCTTATGCAGCCTCTGTCAAATAACATGGTAAATTTGATCTTCTGTTATCTTTTTGTCCAGTAACTCTGTTTTTGCACCCAAAATATGCTGAGGTCCAATACAATCCACAACAGGAGAAGCCATAGGCATCATGAGGTCTGCTGCCACTTTGCTGCTCTTTCACTGACATTTGCTATAATATGGTTCAGAATTACATCCAGACTTGGCTTCTCCCTGCATCTGACCTTCAGATGAGCTTGTAAAATTGACAACTCACTAATACCTGAGAAAGAGTTTCCATTGAGGTGGCTCACGTGACTTGCACACTCTATTTCTTTGTTTCTCTGCTCTTTTTTTTTTTTTTGTGTGTGTGTGTGTGGTTTCTGTCTGTAATCCCAGGCACAGATCTTATTTCGCAAAGATCAGCACGAGGTAGAACTAGTAAAAAAAAAAAAAAAAAAAAGTTTTGAGAGCTTGGTTTTCCACAGCAATCATTTGCATGTATGTTTTCAGGTTTTTAAATACTAACCATGCTGGAGAAGCGAGGCACCAGGATTAAGGAGTAGCACCAGGCATGCAGCCTTCTTTCCCCGAAGGGCAGTAGTACCAAAGGATCACGGTTATTCTGGATTGCTGCAAGGGTGTTGGCAGCAATGTCTGTGCAAGAAAAAAAACACCACCAAGGAAAAGCTAATCTTGCGTTGCACTCCTATGGTGAGCAGGCCTATCTCTTGTATTCTGCACGTAGCTTTTGTTTGCTACAGACCACAGCAGTACTGCAAACTTCAACACCTAAGAGAAAAATAGTCTCTGTATACACGTACACACACGTATAAGTAGATATATTTTAAGTTCCTAAAAGTCTTCCTAGCTGTGTAGTAGGTTACACAGTGCCTAAAATAGAGTCTTAAAAGCATCTGAGCAGACAGTTCCAAAGGCATCTAAATGCCTTGAAGGACCGCAGCTTTTGATACTTTGGAAAAGCTACCTGTGTTTTCTGCCCCCAGCTGAGACTTCCCCAAGGGAATCCTGGCTTCTGCAGGAGTGCTGGCACCTGCCCCCAGTTTTCCTCCTTCCACATTTTCCTAACTCCAGCTGGATGGAGGTCGCATGTTAAGACCATGGCACGGGGGAAGAAAAGGTCTTGCAGCCAGGTGGCCCAGTGAGCAGGTGGGAAGACATTGAACTCTGTGGTCTATTGAGTGGACAAGGGAGAGCAAGAAGCTGCTGGTCTTATAGTCACCTGTGGTCATGGCAGTTTGTGTTACTAAGGTGTTGGGCAGGTGAGTGTTGTTCACTCCTGGATATAATTCACTGTAACAATCAAATTAGGAAGGATCAGTGGTTTGAAGCACTTGTGGGCAGGTCCGTGCAGCTCAGGACAGCATTCACCAGTCCCTGTGCTGGGACATGTTTTCCCTTCGCGGTGGTGTTTGCTGTGTATTTCTTTGCTGGACTTGGACAGCGGTCTCAGCTCAGCATCTGCTCATCTCTCTGAATCCCCTTTTAACAATCTGTGCTGTTGGGCTGTGGCAGCATTTTCCAGGTGACTTCTCAGCCGCGTCAGGCAAGTCTCTCTTACTTCCTGGGACTTTGCACACCTCTGTTCCAGCCCCTCCTGGGCTCCATCAGAGCCATTCTCCTTCCAAAGGTGCTGGTGTCTGTGAAGAAGGCTTGCGGTGGTGCAACACACCTCTGCCACACACACACACTTAGGCCACTCGGTACTTGGCCCCCAACCTGGGACACGTAACAACCCAACATCAATCAGGAGAAAATGCAAAGAGTAACGGACCAGAACGTTATGGCAACCCCTTAGCACGCCTGGATCCCACATGCCCTATGGCCTGGAAACAATATTGACAATCGATCACTCCTGACAATATCTGGATCGTGGCCCAAAGCAGGGCGGGGGGTGTTACCAGAACTTCAGGATCTAGCGAGTTCTGGGATTATGCAACTGGTGGAAAGTACCAGAATATCCCATTGTCCGAGTTGGGCCAGAGTGAGCAATGCCGATGCATTGTGAGTGTTTGCTCTAAACTCGAGAAGAGGGAAATTTGAACTATAAGCTAGCCTCTCTTCCATCCACCTCTCCATCTATCTATGTGTTTCTAATATACACATTAGCTCTTACGAGCGTGGGTGTTCATATATTTTACTGGATCCAAATATTTTCTGTCTGTTTGTGTGTGTAAGGAGTCAAAAGGGGCACCCATCATCTCAGTGAGGTCACCCGCTGCGAAGGGACCTTGGTCATAGCAGTTAAAGCCTCAGGTGGTGTGCGTGTGACTCCTCAGGTTGTGTGTGTTTGTGTGTTTGTATGTTTGTGTTTATACATATATGTATTTATTTGGGATACCTTATAGTAAGTTAGTGTGAAACTTGTCATTTTCGAATCTGTAATTAAGTCACTGTTCAATTATTTTGTTAAATCACCTTGTAAATCCTTAAATCAGTTAATGATTCAACCTCCTGATCTACCTCAAATCATTAATAAATTTTGAATTGCTAGTAAATCATAACCGTGTCAAACATTTCCATCCGCGACAAGGCTGCACCGGATCTCCATTGTGACCACAGCTGTCCCTACCTGTCCCCGCTGACACTCTGGTGAGAAGCTGCTCTGCTGCTTGCTGTCACTGGGTAAGCTCGACTGCCAGGTCTGTCCTGCACCGGTGACCCTCTTGGGGGACAATCTATCCACAAGTCTTTCCAAAGTTTCTCCACTGCTCCTCTCCTCATTACAGCTTGTGACTGTACCTGATGGGTCGAAGCCACTGCTTGCAGCCTTCAATTTGTTTGAATGGAGACTCCCAGAGAGCGTTTGGGGCCAGGACAGGAGGAAAGTGCAGCTTCTGGGAGGGACCTGCCAGCGCCTGAGGTGGCTTCTCTGCATGAGCTGGAAGGTTGGTGATGGTATTTCTGCTTTTGTAGCGTGCCGGACTGCCCAGTCAAAACATTTATAATAATCTGTAATCTCAGATCATCTGGTATTTCCTCAGCATTAGTTCACATTGGAGCAAAATGACATGATGTTGGAAAAAGTTAATGTGCTCCAAACGTGCTGTCTCATGGCAGCAGATGCACATGAACAGACTCAGGGTTGGAAGAAGGAGAGTTACCAAGTATTTCACTTTAGTCAGAGCCATGCCAGAAGCCCTCATTGTATAAACATGTTGTTATACCAAATGCATGCACGACTTTTAGAAACAAGAATGTCTCATCAGAAAGCCTAAGGTTAGCTTAAGTAGTTTAAATAGCAGGTTTCGCTAACCCAGTTCCTTGTGATGGATGTAAGCCCAGAGCTCATCGCAACTCATCCGTGACACTTAGCAGAAACTATTTGGCAGATTTACAAATGAAGAAAATGAGATTTACAAATGAAATTTACAAATGAAGAAAACATTGCTGAAAAAAACCTGATGGCTCTGATATAGCTCTAAACAGAGGGAAAAAAGACTCTCCTGCTTCTTATAAGTGAGTGTGGGTGGCCTTACACGGTAGCACGGTGTGCTGAACAAAGCTTTCATAGTTCTGAAGCAGCGATGACTGATACACTTGGGTGGTTCAAAAATAGTTCCTATAAGTGAAAAAACAGAATGATGCAAGAGGTAAATATGAGGTTTTCCTGCCACAGGGCGCATGCACAGAAGTTTTACACTGATACGATACGTGAAGGACGAGTGGGGAGGAAGCAGTTGAGAACATACCCATAAACTGAATTCAGGGACACCGTGAAATATGTAGTGCCAGCTGTTCATCGCCAAGCCAGTAATTATGCAATGTGTCTGCATAATCTTCAGGCTGCTGTGGAGAAGCTTCCATCTGCAAGTTGTTCGCTTCTTATGCTGCTTCCACATCAAGGGTGACTATGAAAATATTAATATTGGAAATAAGGACGGCAGCTGCATACTATGCATCAGAGGGACGCATGCCTTCTCCAGCAGGAAGCAAGCGCAGCCAGCAAAACGAACCGTTTGGGGTGTCTGATCTGACCTGTTTGCGGTATTTCAAGTGAGACTTTTTATCTGAGCAGCGATGAACAATCTCAGATACTGCTTCTTTGCTGTTTTGATTCTAAGTGTTTCACTTTCATTTGTTTTCTATGCTGTTGACTTGCATGCACAAAAATCTCTTCGGAGGCTGAACATCTCGGTGAGTTCAACTTTAGCAGAAGCCTGTAAAGCACTTACTGAAGATAAGGCACCCTTTCTGAAGGAAAATGCTTTAAAAACATCAGTCATCGAATCTAGTTGCACGGAGTACATCACGCAGAATCACTACATCACCTGCGCCCTCTCAGCCGAGGAGGCTGCCTTCCCCATTGCCTACGTCATGACCCTGCACAAGGAGTTTGAGACCTTCGAGCGACTCTTCAGGGCAGTGTACATGCCCCAAAATGTCTACTGCATCCACGTGGATGCCAAGGCGCCGGCCCCCTTCCAGCAGGCGGTGAGGCGCCTGGTGGGTTGCTTCCCCAATGCCTTCCTCGCCTCCCGGGCAGAGCGGGTGGTCTACGGTGGCATCTCCCGCCTGCGGGCCGACCTCCACTGCATGAGAGACCTCTTGGCCTCGACTGTGCCCTGGCGCTACTTGCTCAACACCTGCGGCCAGGACTTCCCCTTGAAGACCAACCAGGAGATTGTCCGGCTGCTGAAGGGCCTTGGGGGGAAGAACGTCACCCCTGGGGTGCTGCCACCCCCCCACATCACCTCACGCACCAAGTACGTGCACAGGGAGCAATTATACTCTTTTTTTTCTTTCATGCTGGGGACATTTGTGCACAAGGCACCCCCACCCCACAACCTCACCATCTACTTTGGTTCCGCATACGTGGCCATCACGCGGCCCTTCGTGGAGTTCGTGCTGCAGGACCAGCGTGCCATCGATCTGCTGGCGTGGTCTGAGGACACCTACAGCCCCGATGAGCACTTCTGGGTGACGCTCAACAGGATCCCAGGTGAGTGCGCCTTCACTTTTGTTTTCTGTCGATACACACGTACACGCACAGGTGCGCACATGCACACACACAGACAGAGACATATATCTGAGGCAATTTTGACAAAGCCCAGATGAGATATTTAATCAGATCATAATTGATATAAAAGGCTTGTCTATCAAATAAGCTTACTTGCCCTTTTTGACCATTGGGGGAGAGATGTGCAGGATGTGCATTACCGTTCTGTGTCTGAGCAGGAAGAAGCCTGGGGATCTAAGTTCAAATTTAAATCCTTGGACATTTCAGCTGAATTAAGCCTTTTACCTGTAAAAATTGAGATGAAGAAAAGAGAAGGAATAAAGATTAAAACACATAAGCTACGTAAGCATTCTGGTGAAGGTGTTTTCTACAAGATGTTAATTTTGCTGGGGGGAATTTTATTTTTCCACAAATAAAAGTCAGTTTCTCCCTCTGTATCTCCAGAGCCAGAAAATCTGAGTTCAGGCTAGAATCTGCTTCTAGTTGTCACCTGCTTCTCTGTGGGCACACACACATGCACACACACCAGCTCTCCCGTAAGCGTCACCCGCAAAAAAAACTGTACTCATAACTACTGCCTAAACTCCATTATACAAGGTCAAAGATTTGTTCAGAGAAACAGAATCAGAGCCAGTATTTTCATCTTTACCTTATTTATTTACAATTCACTTTGCTTTGTTCTTACAACTGGGAAAGGGTCAGAAGATACACAGGACTTCCCCATGCACGTTGCTTTTAGAAGCACCTGGTAGGGCTTTACTGCTCCCAACACCTTAGAGCTTTGCAGCAGCCCAAAACAGGGATATAAGGAATGGAAGCAAGGATAAATTTATTCTCCTGTCTTTTTTTTTTTCCTTTCCACCCTTCTCCCTACTCTAACTTGTGGGAAACAAAACCAGGGAGCACTAACAGAGAGGCAGAGCATGTGTTCTTTAGACTGAGCAGTGGACTGTGGGTCCATTTGGCAAGGCCAGTCTGCTTTCAAATGACCACATAACGCTCTGAGAGCAGTGCTTGCTCTTCTGATAATTATATTTTACAACTGGCGTGCACAAGATCCACAAATGATTACTGATGGAGATAGTTATGGTATAAACATCAGCATATATTATTTGTAGCTAGCTGACTTTTCCAGGAAGCTGGTTGCTGTGACCTTATAGTTCATTGCCTCAAAAGCAATAAACCTGGGACCAGATATGTTCTCCACAATCAGAAAGTTTTAGGCGGTTGCCATTTGTTGTACTGCACTATGTAGTTTACATTGGCTGCATATTTCATTGTTTATTTCCATGATCATCACCATATGCTTTCCAGTGTTGCACATTGGCGTAACATTTTTTGTGTTTGTTCTCTTTATATCCAAAAGAGGAATCAAAAAAAAAAAAAAAAGAGAGATGAAACATTTTCACAGCAGATATGTTTCTTTCCTCTTCCTTGTTTTCCCTGCCATCGCTTTACGGTACTTGGCCAAAAGTGGCCATGCAGCTCTGACAGGTGTACTCAGGGGCTGCTGTGTCCAGGATTTTGAATCCAGACTTGTAAGTGTAGCATAGGGTGCCAGACATTTCCCTGTACTTGGCACTGGTGAGGCCCCACTTAGAGTACTGGGTTCAGGTTTAGGCCCCTCACTACAAGAAAGACATCGAGGTGCTGGAGCACGTCCAGAGAAGGGCAACGAAACTGGTGAGGGGTCTGGAGAACACGTCTTCTGAGGAGTGTCTGAGGGAACCGGGGTTGTTTATCCTGGAAAAGGAGGCTGAGGGGAGACCTTATCGCTCTCTACAGCTACCTGAAAGGAGGTTGTAGAGAAGTGGGTGTCAGTGTCTTCTCCTAAGTAACAAGCAATAGGACAAGAGGAAATGGCTTCAAATTGCACCAGGGGAGGTTTAGGATGGATATTATGAGAAAGTTTCTCCAGCACTCTCTGGACACGCTCCAGCACGTCAATGTCTTCCTTGTAGTGAAGGGCCCAGAACTGAACATAGTATTTGAGGTGAGGCCTTACTAGTGCCAAGTACAGGTGAATGATCACTTCCCTAGTCCTGCTCACCACACTATTCCTGATACAGGCAACAAGTTGTCCTTGTCAAAATTTCACTGCAGTTTGTCTGAAGTAGTAGCTTTATGTTCCAATGAGAGCTGTTGGCTGTCAAGGAACATCTCATTCACATCCCTTGGAGTGGGTGTGAGATACAAGAGCAACACCAGAAAATTCTGAGGAGCACCGCTAGCAAATTAATCAATCATGTTAGCCAACTCCTTATTTTTAAGTTTTTTAATGTCCATTTACTTGTTCAAACAAACCTGTGTTTTTTCCAGCTTGCACTGAGCTTCTCGCTACAGCAACTTAATAATTCAAAACTACTTTGGTACCTCTCCATCCCACTGCAGTTTGTAGATAGGGTCTTGGAACAACCTTCTCCTCAATGTATGGATCATACTAATACGCACAATTGTGGTTATTTTCTGCCTGTTAAAATTATTCCTTTTCCTTAGTGCCCACTGTTCAAAAGACAGAGACACAGAAGTTTTTTTTAAATTATTCCAGACAGTGATGCCAGTTGAATAAGCCATGTTCTAGAAAAAAAGTATTTTGTACTTCTGTCTGCAGCGTTACTCGTATAACTAATCCTTGTTCTCTTGTTCATATTCTTCATTATTCTAATGAGACTTCCTGATTGAGCAAGAACTTCTCATAGGAGTAAGGCATAAAAAAATAGGGATTTTCCTGTGACTGTTATTGAGCTGTTTTAATCTTGTCATCAAAACCTTCCTCTTTTGAAAAACCTGCTTAGGGGAAGGTGTTGCAACACAGTTACAGCAATTGCAAACACATCTTCTTCATGGCAAAATTTCCTGAAAAATTACTCTTGTCTTCAATCCACCATTCAGATACAATAGTTCATTTGAGACGATATAACATAAAATAGGGCTTGGTCTCTGTGCAATCCGCAGTCATTGGAATTTCAGTACTGCTTTCAATAGGAGCAATACTTTGCTTCACAACCAATTGTTTGCTTCTCACCAAAACACCACTTAGTGATGACAGGATAAGGAAGGGTATGTCTTCAAGAAGTCTTTTTTGAAAAGTCACAGCTAATAAATGGGCTTGTGTTCCTTCCCTTGATTCTCCTTTATCTTTACAACTATCAGACATTGGTGTAAGAGGCTTCAAACTCCTTGAAGAACAGAATCAGATGACAGTAATTTAAGGAGAAATTTTTTTCTTTCTAAATTCTGGTAATGTCTGTCACAACTCATGCATGTAACCAACTAGACTTCAGTCCAGTTGCAGTAACAGAGGCTTTCCTTGATGTTCCCAGATGCTGAGTTGCCAACAGCCTTTGGTTTTGTTAGGGGGGGAACTCCAATCAGACCACCTGAACCTGTCCCCTCCTTTCATCTACGAGCAAATTCATCTGACCACACCTAAAGCTGTTATGCTTGTTGTGAGACAAACCTTGACGCCAGCACCCACCTGGGCAGCCGGGGTGGAAGTTGGAAGTGCCGTGCCTGAACAGGTGCTGGGGTGGGCACCGGCGGTTCCTGCAGAGCGGCTCTCCTGTTGGCTGTCCTCAGTGCCCAGCGTGTCCCCACGGGTCCAGCTCACTCCCACTCCAGGAAGCAGGTGTTTCCTGAACAGCTCTGTAGAGTTCAGCTCCTTTGATGCAGCACTGCAACCCTGCCAAAGACACTAGAGTTAGTTTATGGGTCAATAACAGCTCAGAAAAAAACTCATTCAAAACATATAATCAAATGAAACTGCTGGAACTGAGACCCTTTCCTTATTATCCATCAGATGATTCAACACAGGAGACACAGTTTAGCTCTTTTATGGCTGCCAACAGCCTGATGGCTCAAGGAGGTGGCATGCATTGCCTTAATTCTGACCGCTGTCTTGAAAGAAGTAGTTTTAAATAAGCTTCTCTTTTTCCTGAGTTTTATTTCCTTTGCTCCAGGCTCTGAGGTCTGCTTTAAAGTTTGACAATCTTGAGTTTAGTTTAGTTAACCCCTCACCCTTACACACACACATTTTTGCATTCACGTACCCCACTGAAATGAAAATTTATGGTGGCAAAATACAAAATTGAGCCTTTGTACATTTTTAAGGAGGGGTGGTGGGTTTTTTCTCCATTGTTTCAATCTCATCTTGAAAGAAAATCTCTTCTTCTGAGGACTCCCTCCTATCTTCACCAGCTACCTCCCTCCTGTGGGCAGGTGGGAGAACTTGTCTAGCAGGACAAACAAGAAGACAGACAAAACAGGATTTCAGAGCAGATTGTTCTTGTATGCTCTTATGAGCCCAGTCAGACAAATTCTTGTTGCTGTACAGGGTTAAGAGATGACCATTTCGATCTTAGTTGCCTTTGCTTATCAGCTTCTCTCCATCCTCCTAACACTGACAGTTTAACTCTTTGATTTCTCCCCTGAGCAGCTCCGTAAAATGACAAAAGCTGAAAAAAAAACCCCCAAACAACCTTAACTTACTGTTAGAAAGCCTAAAAATAGATTGGGTGAACCTGGGAATGAAGACCTGCATCCGCAATTGGGACTCCTCGTGCAGCCAGTAGGGCTGCAAGCGCACAGCTGACCCGTGGGGTATGTGGCCCCTTGTCCTCAGCAGTGCCAGCACCATCCTAGGGACTCTGTCTAGAAACGTGCCCCGAAGGCGGCAGATGCAGGGAGCACCCCAGGGTGCTGGGCCAGCCATGGGTGGTGGCAAGGCTGCCCTTCGCCAGCGTGGGAAGGTGCGTTTCATGGGTCGGCCTCGCATTTGTCTCCTCTTGGTGTGGGACCGGCTGGGAGCTGCTGGCCAGTCCAGGGGTGGACCAAGGCT